GATATTCGGTTCATAAACAACATGGATTTCAACGTGCAGATTTCAAAGTGCCTGCGTGACTTGATGCACTTGATGCAAGACCCATTTTATTACAATACAGATCTTCATCATCGATCAGATCATCTTCACATTTTGTTTGAAGCAAATGCAAGTGATATGAGTGTAGGAATCTGATTGGTCAATAGGAGGGGCATAGGAGATGCAGGAGGGATATAACTTGTAATATGGTGGCACAACCATCAAGCCAAGAAATTCCAGCATAGTTTGGCAAGGGTAGAAATTGGACTTTTACAGTCAGTGAACCCTCTTGCCTCAGGAAGATGGTTTGTATGATGGCCTCAGTACATTACATTACAATGACAGTGTGTATGTTGACCTTAGCACAACACAATACAACCAAAATTTGTACATTGACCTCAGCACAACACAATGCATGAAACTGCTTTATATTGACCTCAACATACCACAATGCAATAAGAAAAGATGTATGATGACCTCAACACAACCAAACGCATGACAATCTAAAGCATTTCATTGGCCGTTCAAACACCAGAAATACTCACAGACTCACAGTAAATTATTAGAGCTGTCCGTGAAACTCACCATGTTCCAGACTTCTGAGAATTTACTTCTATCCGCCAGTTCATGTTAACTCATGTGTATTGTTACATTAGGTTTCTTGTAACAGGATTATCACATTCGATTCAACATGATGTGCCAGACTGTATGGCAAAGCTAGCTCTTATTGTTGAGCACAATAGGATATAGTCCTGAAGCCAATCTGACGCCCCCATCACCCACCACACATATAATACATGACCAGACCCCGAGAACAAACGAATTGGTTTTCTTGTTTTCATTTATAAATGTCTGCAGCAGAAAAGGTCAAAAATACATAACAATGTTAGGGTTGATTTGAAAATAATGTCCCAAAACTAATTCTTGGAAATAAAAGCTAAGATCATGATACAAACATAAAAATGAACATATTTTCTTCAAAAATATATTTTTCATTTTCAATTTTCAAACTTTATGCAGCATAAACATAAAAATGACATATACAGTCTGGACTAATTAGGTAATCTTTAACAATAACATACTTGTTACCATAATTACAGAGGATCCGAAAGCTTGATAACGAATTTTAATCATATAATTTATGCAATGCTTTTGTTCATGTTTTTTCCTGCTATGCTCATCAGTCCACCCTGTTTTTCCAACCTTTGCGGCAGTCTTATTCAACTGGACACTGATGGTTATCACAGACGACAACATCAGACAAATGTAATGTTTTGGTCTCCTGTAAAGGGCAGAGCACTCCCACCCATCAGTATGTCACGGAGATGATGGGTTTGGTTTGCTATCTCTAATCAGTTGATGGGTTGAGATGAGTAGATGTGGGAACGTTATGTCAACACAATGTCTCACAATAGAGCATTGGTACTTTACACAGTTGAAGGGGGGTAACTCTTGTCAGTTCATGTGTACTTTTAAAATGGCAGACTGAAATCGGTACAAGGTGAAACCATTAAGAGAATCATTATGCATTTGCTATTTTTTTGGTGAAATCATTGTTTGAAAGATGTATCAGACAATACATTTGCAATAAACTCCTGAAAAGTACAAATAACTTGTTCTTAAACAGAAAAGTGTGTGCACGGATGGAAGGATATCATTGTTATGTTACTGTTTTTCTCTAAACAGAGATGTTTAAAAAGGAATGAGAAAATGCAAATGTACAACAGTTTCCTATATCGTAATAACAATTGCTCTACTTACTAGATCCCAGAGAGTCTCATCAAGTTAACTGAGTAAACATATTATAATTGGTGATGTTTTCACCTGCTCAGTTCACATGTTAGCCATCACTGCCTTAGGACACACCCAGTAGGCATGGCAAGAATCTGTATACATGTCACAGACTGACAAGATATCACTAGAGCCAACACAAGTAACCGACAAACACCACTAGACTCGGCATTGCTCAGTGTTCAATGCTTAGTGCTGTTTCACATGTAGATGTTATCACTAGAGCCAACACAAGTAACCGACAAACACCACTAGACCGGCATTGCTCAGTGTTCAATGCTTAGTGCTGTTTCACATGTAGATGTTATCACTAGAGCCAACACAATTTAGTAACCGACAAACACCACTAGGCTCAGCATTCCTCAGTGTTCAATGTTTAGTGCTGTTTCACATGTAGATGTTATCACTAGAGCCAACACAAGTTACTGACAAACACTACTAGGCTCGGCATTGCTCAGTGTTCAATGCTTAGTGCTGTTTCACATGTAGATGTTATCACTAGAGCCAACACAAGTTACTGACAAACACTACTAGGCTCGGCATTGCTCAGTGTTCAATGCTTAGTGCTGTTTCACATGTAGATGTTATCACTAGAGCCAACACAAGTAACTGACAAACACCACTAGACTCGGCATTGCTCAGTGTTCAATGCTTAGTGCTGTTTCCCATGTAGATGTTATCACTAGAACCAACACAAGTAACCGACAAACACCACTAGACCGGCATTGCTCAGTGTTCAATGCTTAGTGCTGTTTCACATGTAGATGTTATCACTAGAGAAAACACAAGTAACTGACAAACACTACTAGGCTCAGCATTGCTCAGTGTTCAATGTTTAGTGCTGTTTCACATGTAGATGTTATCACTAGAGCCAACACAAGTAACCGACAAACACCACTAGGCTCAGCATTGCTCAGTGTTCAATGCTTAGTGCTGTTTCACATGTAGATGTTATCACTAGAGCCAACACAAGTAACCGACAAATACCACTAGGCTCAGCATTTCTCAGTGTTCAATGCTTAGTGCTGTTTCCCATGTAGATCTTATCACTAGAGCCAACACAAGTAACCGACAAACACTACTAGGCTCAGTATTCCTCAGTGTTCAATGCTTAGTGCTGTTTCACATGTAGATCTTATCACTAGAGCCAACACAAGTAACCGACAAACACTACTAGGCTCGGCATTGCTCAGTGTTCAATGCTTAGTGCTGTTTCACATGTAGATGTAATCACTAGAGTCAACACAAGTAACCGACAACCACCACTAGGCTCAGCATTGCTCAGTGTTCAATGCTTAGTGCTGTTTCATATGTAGATGTTATCACTAGAGCCAACACAAGTAACTGACAAACACCACTAGACTCAGCATTGCTCAGTGTTCAATGCTTAGTGCTGTTTCACATGTAGATGTTATCACTAGAGCCAACACAAGTAACTGACAAACACTACTAGGCTCAGCATTGCTCAGTGTTCAATGTTTAGTGCTGTTTCACATGGAGATGGCGTTTTCTTTTAAGACTGAGCATGCGCCTATTCTATTGTGAAAAACCAAGTAATCACCTGTACATGTGTTATGTCTGAAAGCATTTCCTTCCAGTGTATATCTGTTTTACCAGAAGTTTCAGTCCTGTTCTTCAGAGGGGACTATGCCCCTTTCAGCCTTAGTCTAATTAGAACGCCTCTGCTGTCTAGTGGATGGAGCATCTGCTTAGACATCTTCACGAGGCAAGGGAGTTTACTGACTGTAAAAGTTCAGTTTCCACCTTTGCTAAACTTAGCTGGTATTTCTGGGCTCGATCGTAGTGCCACCAGTGGCTATTACAAGTCATGTCCCTTTGCAAATCCTGCAATCGGCCAATCTCATTAAAATCAGATCTTGGTTCTCGATATCGCTAAACAAAGATCTGAGCACATCCCATTACGTGTCACGTCAGACCGACCTTGTGCGAACTTTGACCAACCAATGGAAGGACTGACAAGAAGTCGACATAAGCCAATCAGAGGGCAGCTTTCTCGTGCTTTAGGGCACTGATTTCAAATTGGCGACTACGCTTCGAACCATATTTTGACAAATTCTCGATTGAAAAATTGAAACATGAACAACAGAACATTCTGGAATGGCTGATAGATGGTCTAGATTGTACGGATTCAGTTGTTAAACCCACAACTATCGATCGTAATACCACATGTTAAAGTTTTCGAGGCTGCATGATTAGAAATCACATTCCAACTGTCACTTTCATGATCTGGTAAGCGACGCTCTGACTGGTCGAATGAAAGGTCATTTTGACGTGACCCCTAATGGGATGTCCTCAGATCTTTGTTTAGCGGTAGTGAGAACTAAGATCTGATTTTAATGAGATAGGCAATCGACCGAAATCTGCACGGCAGTTGATGAACCCGTTGTCGATTTTGTTAAGCGATTTTGATTGGACTATGCATAAACTCATAGTCCAGCCTATTTCAGCAAGGGTGGAAACTGGACTTTCATAGTCAGTTAACTCCCTTGCCTTGGGAAGATGCTGCTGGGACAGTGGAAGGTCAGTGGTTCAATTCCCGACCACATCATACCAAAAGACATTAGAATATGGTACTTGTTGTTACCCTGCCTTGGCCTCAGCATCAAATGGATAAAACAAGGATTGGTTGGAGCAGAATGAGTATATGAATGTGTCTGAGTAGGGCATTCATGTTAACCTGAGTTTATTGAGTTCAACATAATTAAGTCGTGTCAGGAAATGTAGCATCAGTGAAGACATAGTTGTCATGGATTTCACATTTTCTATAATTTAAATGTGAGATATTTGTGCCAGTACATTCATAAACTTATCACTTGCTGGCAAAGGTACCAGACCCTTACAACCCTCACAAGCCCTCACAAACCCTCACAAAAAACAATAAAGAAGTTTAAATCCACCAGTCAGCGCTCTTTTTAAACGTAGTTCAAGTTTGCAAGATCTCACTGTAATTAAATGACTATATGTTTTTCCACTTGACAGTAAATTTTAACTGACAACTTGAAAATTAATAATAAACATTGCAAAAATTTTGGTCTTTCTTTAGAGTAATCACAGATCCTTAGGGCTTTTGATAAGCACTGATTAGGTCATCCAAATTCACACCTTCACAAAACTTGGAGACGTTTGGGCCTACATGTGAGAAGTGGAACAAAACAGTTGATGAGACTCACCCTGATCACTTGTCCTGGAGCTTGGAGAAGAATCGGGAACCCATGCTGCCCAGTTTGTCATAGAGGGAGCTGCTAAGATCAGTCTGTGACGCTGACTTCGGCAACACAGCCTCCACTGCCAATGTCAGCGACTGATTGCCTGAGTCTAGTCCCTGTAAAAAAGAGCCGAGGGATTAGGGCGTTGTGATGCGCGACATCATTTGATCATCCATAATGGAACAATGTCCATCAGACAAGAAAGACACAGTTTTTATGGATAACAACTTCTTTAATACTTTAATCCCAGTATTAAAGAAGTTGTTATCCATAGAAATTGTGTCTATCTTGTCATCCGTCAACTTCTAAGCAATGCCTATCAAACAAAATGTCAATCAGGCATACCATTCTCTGTTTATGGGGGCATTGAAGACATTGTGACACTTCACTTGTCTGTGGGCATTGTCTGTGAGGGGACATAACTCTACATAGAGCACCTGCTCTGTTCTAGATGACTTTCAGGACACTGTGACACATAACTTACCCTGGTGATTGTCTGTGAGGGGACATAACTCTGCAGGGAACACCTGCTCTGTTCTAGATGACTTTCAGGACACTGTGACACATCACTTACCCTGGTGATTGTCTGTGAGGGGACATAACTCTGCATAGAGCACCTGCTCTGTTCTAGATGACTTTCAGGACACTGTGACACATCACTTACCCTTGTGATTGTCGGTGAGGGGACATAACTCTGCATAGAGCACCTGCTCTGTTCTAGATGACTTTCAGGAGACTGTGACACATCACTTACCCTTGTGATTGTCTGTGAGGGGACATAACTCTGCATAGAGCACCTGCTCTGTTCTAGATGACTTTCAGGACACTGTGACACATCACTTACCCTTGTGATTGTCTGTGAGGGGACATAACTCTGCATAGAGCACCTGCTCTGTTCTAGATGACTTTCAGGAGACTGTGACACATCACTTACCCTGGTGATTGTCTGTGAGGGGACATAACTCTGCATAGAGCACCTGCTCTGTTCTAGATGACTTTCAGGACACTGTGACACATAACTTACCCTGGTGATTGTCTGTGAGGGGACATAACTCTGCATAGAGCACCTGCTCTGTTCTAGATGACTTTCAGGACACTGTGACACATCACTTACCCTGGTGATTGTCTGTGAGGGGACATAACTCTGCATGGAGGACCTGCTCTGCTGTGTGCTGAGTGGCAGGAGGGGGAACCTGCTGTTACAGGAGGATAAAGGCAGGACATTGTGCTGCTCGTGCTGCCCAGCTGCAGGTGCCCTCCCGGTGGACACAACACTCTGCTTGTCCAGGGCCGCCAGGGAACCAAATATCACCTGCAAGTACAACATATCTTATAGAAGCAGTTACTGACATAACCATAAAATATCAAATGCGGTATCTGCTTCAAAACCTGTACAAAACTGATGAAGATAAGATGTTCCTGTCTGCTAAGATTGAAGATTGAAACAAAACTCTTATCACAACTTGAGAAACTTCTTACTCTAGACCAAGAGAATTCTTTATGGTGTTTGAAAGAAGAAAGAATAATTACTTTACAGACAGCCAGTTTTGGATACAATCCTTGATGATTGTCAAATACTTCATTACTATGAAATTTCATAAAAAATTAGGGCTAAGGGATCTGTAGTTTACTTGGCTCAAACTGTATTTGTATATTGAGAAAGTAAGATGAATTTCTATTACAGACAATAACCATTCCAGTCGAGATTATTGGTGGAACATTTCGTAAGTTGGTTTCATAAAGTAGATCTTGCATTCATGTCACCCAGTCAGATTTCAGTTAACACGCTTAAAAGTTAACTGGATTTTTAAACACTTAGACAACACATACCATGACCCAACATCCTAAAATTTCAAACTCATCCCCGCTGCTGATTTGGGGAAGTCAATTCTATGTCAGACAGGCTACCAACTGCACAGAAACAGACACACATGGCCGTAACATTTCTGCAAAGTTTCCACAGCAGCAGATGTTACTAAAGTGAAAAGATGACAGACAACTTCCAACAGCATGAGTGAGTGAGTGAGTGAGTGAGTATGGTTTTAAGCCACTTTTAGCAATATTCCAGCAATATCACGGTTGGGGACACCAGAAATGGGCTTCACTCATTGTACCTATGTGGGGAATCGAACCCGGGCCTTCTTCGTGACAAGCAAACGTTTTAACCACTAGGCTATCCCACTACCCCCAAACAACATAAGCCCTCTGAGGCAGATCCAGAGTAATGGGCAGACTATAGTTCTCACGAAGTGAACAAAGCACATGGAGTGACTGACGACATAGGATCACACGTGTGACATGCCTTAATGAGCTATTATGGCCGTATCTGTACTCACAGCAGTCCTCTGGCTTTGTCTGTGCAGGTTGACCTGCATGTAAGGACTGAACACGTCCAGGTCGAAGGGGTCAACCACCTCTTCCAGGGACTCACAGATAGACTGAGCTTTCTTCTGGTATGTCTTACTGGTCTGGAGGAACAAAAACATTCAGATATACTTTTGGATTGGAAACATTATCCACAGGCAAATATGATTATACATCTAAACATTATGGTTATAAATGAAAATAAATCCTAGGAATAGTCATTTATGGATACTTTTATGTATACAGAATTACAGATGTATCAAGGTTTCCAAACTAAGTACACTTGTCAGGCAATTTGGGATGTGTTGGTGTTGGTATTTTGCCCAAAATTGGGATTGTTCCAAGGTTCTTATTTTCTTAGGTTCAGATGCAGGTTTACATTGAACTGAATACAACAAGGTAATAACAAACATCACAGGTAGCCTCTTCTTACTTATTGGTCAGTGAATACACGTCACTTGTACAAAGCCATAACATTTAATAGTTATAACTACATTAAAATGATGAACGTGGGAAATTCTTAATCCAATTTAGGAAATTTAGGACATTTCCTGCAGATCAGGGGACGAATATTGGCCTCTAGAAAAATCCCTGCATAGAGATTTATTAAATGGGGTTTTAAAACAGGGCTTGTAAAATTACTGCAACATCCCAGTCTGGTAACATTCCCAACTCTTGTACAAACATGGCATACGCAATACCTTTACCCTAATAATATCAATGGGTAGATGTTTTGTGTACACATGAGCATTCTAAAACACGCTATGCTGTTCTCTTCTCCAACTTTCCCTGAGTTACATACCTTTGTGTCATCCTTCCTTGGAATAATCTGAAGGAGGTATCTGATATCAAACAGGGACTGCAGTGCTTGCTGTTGGGTCAAAGGGAGGCCACTCTTCCTCACACGCCGCTTACCTCCCTTTACAAAGTCTTGATACACATTGACAATCCCATCTGTCATTTTGTGTAACAAGTCTTGTACAACTGACCTGAAAATCCAACAATAGGAATGTCAAATGTGAAAAGTCATTTTATTTTAAAAGACATTTCACAAAAGTGTTACTAGTTCCAATTATGTTAAGAATCAATGTAAGGCCATGGACCTAAAGAAAGCTGATTCATGGACTTTTACACTTTGATCAGCAGTACAGCTCCATCATGGGGAACCCTGGCCAGTGGTCAGTTGTGCAGTATATCTGTTATCACTCTCCTGTACAGTGTTGACTTAGTATTACATCACTGCTTCAAGCTAACTTGCACATCATGTGACCAAACTTATTCTTGTTTGTAAACAAATGCGATTATTCTAAAATCATAGCAGTCCTCAACTTACAGATTGTTTTGCACACTTATTAAGATATGCTACTACAAAGACATGACAATATACATATAGATCTCAAAATAGCTGTATCCCCAGTAGAGCTTCGGTGTCTGTGTAAGCGAGGATTCTATTCTACCTAAATATTATCCCGAGGGAAATTTTACTCTAGAGTATAGAATCCTACCTTAGTGCCACACTGGTATGGGTTCAAATTCACTAGGGAGAATCATCCTGACACAAGAGAATTTCATCCCCGGGATAAAAACTAGGGTAGGATAATATTCACTCTTACATCTGCACGTGGAACCGTACAGCTATTGTACACAAAGAATATATACACAAAGGGAAACAGGTTTTACATATTTTAGGATATTTTTTTCAATGAAAGCTAACCATTTCATGACATATATTTCTCTAAATGTCTGCCCTCTAAGTAGCGACAATTTTGGTGGCCAAATGCGGCTTAAATCTTTGACTGGCGACCTACATTTATCTACTGCTCGCCACTTGGCTACAGGAAGGTAAACATTACTGGCGACAATATCTGTTTAAGATATCTGTGGGCTTCTAAAAACTTACGTTTGGCTGCTAAAATATTCATGTTAGGAGCCGCTTGGCTCCCACACAAAAAGATGATCTGAGAGGGCTGTAATGTGTAGACTTTTTAAAAATGAAACAGATGAAAAACATATGTAATTTGCTGAAAGGATGAGTAAGATGTGATGAATCCAAGCGACATGATGAGAACCTACCTGGGCAGCGCCTGTCCCCCGACCTTGTTCAGGTCCTGGCACAGCTTGAACAACAGTGAGTGGAGGTACCAGGACGGCTGGGGAGAGAAGGACAACCACATTATAGCGTGTGTACACAGGCAGGACAGGGGGGTAACAAGGTGTGTTTACTATTGCAGAAGTATTCAGATAAGGTCCTTTGTCGTCCTACAATGTACATTTGCTTGCATTACTCAACATGATGACAAGTTTAACGCCCAAGTCCAAGATGTGTATAGTGCCGGAGAAGCTGATAGGGAGTTGAGATAGCACTGATTATTGACTGATGGCAATGTTTTCATCATGTCTCTTTAAGCAAGGTGTATTTTGGATCAAAACGAAGGGAAAAGTCAGTGAGTGATAATATTTTTTCATGTTATATGTTGGTTGATACCATCAATTGAGTAGCTCAGCATCAATGTCAACTATAAGGGTAACACTATTTTTCAGGGCATTAATTATCATTTGCAGAAGCCAGAGGTCTTCCATTAACTGCCCGACGAAGGAGGGACGTTGAAAAGACCAAGGGCTTCTACAAATGATAATGCCCTGAAAAATAGCGTTACCGTTATTATAGCTAAAATGGATAGAATTTGTTCTAAAAAAAAAAATAAACAACAATATCTGTTTTGGAACATTTACTGCAAGCAACACACAATGAATGTCACTGACCCATTTTTACAAATATGGAAACGTCATAGAACAAAACAGATGACGTCACTATTGAAGATCAATATGACGCAAAGAACGTGATAATGGCCTCTCTAATATGGCCTCTCTAATATGAGGGCATTATCAAGTTACAGTGGCCCACTCATTTCTGATAACATGCGGGCGGTTTAATGATAATTCTATCCATTTTAGCTATGATATATTTTAAATCGTATTGCCAGAGGTTATGACCAATTGTGATGCATCAGTCATTCCATCTATCGTTACACCTCAACACAAATAGGTGATGATTCTAACACTACATCTGAGTGACGGTGCACTGTCCACATGTCACAGCTCGGGGATGTAAGTAAGCTCACCTGCATGGGGACCATGATCTTGGAGCTGTGTTTCTTCCCCTCCTCAGTCTCCTCCTGAATGTCCACCTCATCCCATCTCTACAACACACAACACAGCTGACTTCACCATGTACCCTGAATGTCCACCTCATCCCATCTCTACAACACACAACACAGCTGACTTCACCATGCACTCATAATGTCCACCTCATCCCATCCCTACAACACACAACACAGCTGACTTCACCATGCACTAATAATGTCCACCTCATCCCATCTCTACAACACACAACACAGCTGACTTCACCATGCACTCATAATGTCCACCTCATCCCATCTCTACAACACACAACACAGCTGACTTCACTATGTACCCATAATGTCCACCTCACCCAATCTCTACACAGCTGACTTCACTATGAACCCATAATGTCCACCTCACCCCATCTCTACACAGCTGACTTCATTATGTACCCATAATGTCCACCTCTTCCCATCTCTACACAGCTGACTTCCCCATGCACCCTTCATGTCCACCTCACCCCATCTCTACATAGCTGACTTCCCCATGCACTCTTCATGTCCACCTCACCCCATCTCTACATAGCTGACTTCCCCATGTACCCATAATGTCCACCTCATCCCTTCTCTACACAGCTGACTTCCCCATGTACCCTTAATGTCCACCTCTCCCCATCTCTACACAGCTGACTTCCCCATGCACCCTTAATGTCCACCTCACCCCATCTCTAAACAGCTGACTTCACTATGTACCATTAGTGTCCACCTCACCCCATCTCTACACAGCTGACTTCATTATGTACCCATAATGTCCACTCACCCCATCTCTACATAGCTGACTTCACTATGTAGCCTTAATGTCCACCTCACCCCATCTCTACACAGCTGACTTCCCCATCCACCCTTAATGTCCACCTCACCCCATCTCTACAAAACTGACTTCCCCATCCACCCTTAATGTCCACCTCATCCCATCTCTACACAGCTGACTTCCCCATCCACCCTTAATGTCCACCTCACCCCATCTCTACACAGCTGACTTCCCCATCCACCCTTAATGTCCACCTCACCCCATCTCTACAAAACTGACTTCCCCATTTACCCACCTCACCTCATCTCTACACAGCTGACTTCACTATGTACCCATAATGTCCACCTCACCCCATCTCTACACAGCTGACTTCATTATGTACCCTTAATGTCCACCTCACCCCATCTCTACACAGCTGACTTCACTATGTACCCTTAATGTCCACCTCATCCCATCTCTACACAGCTGATTTCACTTTGTACCCTTAATGTCCACCTCACCCCATCTCTACATATCTGACTTCACCATGCACCCTTAATGTCCACCTCACCCCATCTCTACATATCTGACTTCACCATGCACCCTTAATGTCCACCTCACCCCATCTCTACACAGCTGACTTCACCATGCACCCTTAATGTCCACCTCACCCCATCTCTACACAGCTGATTTCACTTTGTACCCTTAATGTCCACCTCACCCCATCTCTACACAGCTGACTTCACTATGTACCCTTAATGTCCACCTCACCCCATCTCTACACAGCTGACTTCACCATGCACCCTTAATGTCCACCTCACCCCATCTCTACACAGCTGACTTCACTATGTACCCTTAATGTCCACCTCACCCCATCTCTACACAGCTGACTTCACTATGTACCCTTAATGTCCACCTCACCCCATCTCTACATATCTGACTTCACCATGCACCCTTAATGTCCACCTCACCCCATCTCTACACAGCTGACTTCACCATGTACCCACCTCACCTCATCTCTACACAGCTGACTTCACTATGTACCCTTACTGTCTGCCTCACCCCATCTCTACATAGCTGACTTCACTATGTACCCATAATGTCCACCTCATCCCATCTCTACATAGCTGACTTCACCATGCACTCATAATGTCCACCTCACCCCATCTCTACACAGCTGACTTCCCCATGCACCCTTAATGTCCACCTCACCCCATCTCTACACAGCTGACTTCACTATGTACCCTTAATGTCCACCTCACCCCATCTCTACACAGCTGACTTCCCCATGCACCCTTAATGTCCACCTCACCCCATCTCTACACAGCTGACTTCCCCATGCACCCTAAATGTCCACCTCACCCAATCTCTACACAGCTGACTTCACTATGTACCCTTAATGTCAGCCTCACCCCTTCTCTACATAGCTGACTTCACCATGCACTCATAATGTCCACCTCACCCCATCTCTACACAGCTGACTTCACTATGTACCCATAATGTCCACCTCACCCCATCTCTACATAGCTGACTTCACCATGCACTCATAATGTCCACCTCACCCCATCTCTACATAGCTGATTTCACCATGCACTCATAATGTCCACCTCACCCCATCTCTACACAGCTGACTTCACTATGTACCCATAATGTCCACCTCACCCCATCTCTACATAGCTGACTTCACCATGCACTCATAATGTCCACCTCACCCCATCTCTACATAGCTGACTTCACTATGTACCCATAATGTCCACCTCACCCCATCTCTACATAGCTGACTTCACCATGCACTCATAATGTCCACCTCACCCCATCTCTACACAGCTGACTTCACCATGCACTCATAATGTCCACCTCACCCCATCTCTACACAGCTGACTTCACCATGCACTCATAATGTCCACCTCACCCCATCTCTACACAGCTGACTTCTCCATGCACTCATAATGTCCACCTCACCCCATCTCTACACAGCTGACTTCTCCATGCACTCATAATGTCCACCTCACCCCATCTCTACATAGCTGACTTCACCATGCACTCATAATGTCCACCTCACCCCATCTCTACACAGCTGACTTCTCCATGCACCCTTAATGTCCACCTCACCCCATCTCTACATAGCTATATCATCGACTGTGTCTTTTCAAAAAGGTTTGTTTTTTGTTGATCATTCACATATAAAGTGAAATCCTGTCAGTGTGGACAATTACATAATAATGTTGGTCCTTAATTATTATTTGGACAATTTCAACTGTATTCAAAGATCAGTTAGTGTGTAATTCTAATTCTAGAATATTGCTAATAAATAAATATTTATTTGATAATGTGTCAATGAAACTGTTAGTACAACAGGGAAACTTTCTTCTTTCTGTATTTTTTGACAATATAATATACCAAGCATCTATTATATGCACATAGTCTCATGATACTAAATTATCACTAACAATATTATTGTCCTATATGGCTATCTACACACAATTTGCAGCATTTTTTCAGAATATCAAAATAGATGTATTTATCGAATGGTGAGTTAAGTGAACGCAATAGACAACAACTTTTGTCAACTTCACACTATAGAGGCCCACACAGGTCTACCTATATTTCAGTATATAGCACTCTGTCACTAGGAATATTTACCGTGGCATGTTCGACAACAGAACTGAGGTTCTCCGCATGTAAGGCTTTAGAAAACTCAGACACTGACACCTTTGTTATGTGGTCAACCCAGAATCTGAAATGTGACAATTTCTTCTTTATATAAGCTTGATTATAGTTAAAACATTGTGATAAGGGTATCTAATACAAGCGTAAGTAAATCACTTGGGAATTTATCCCGAACCATTGGTCATTACCACAGTTAACAAATCTGTCATCCATCATAATTGGTTGCTATTCTTCCCTGTATTTTCGAGAAACGATGTTAAAGAACTAAGGCCTGTTTAAACCAGGATCTCATTTTGGGGGAATATTTTTCCATAAATGAAAATACTTGATTGGTTGAATAGTGATGACAAAAATGTTGCATACCAAAGAAATCACATAATACTTTTTATGATTATTTTTACATAATAGATTATGGACATATTGTTCATCACTGCATCTGAATAGGGAAACCGACCTATCATCGACAACAATCAGCACGACCTAATACAAAGAATTCCATCAATACAAGGATGTTGCAGCTGCTAGGACTGCGAACACTGATTACGTGTAACAGATACCATAACAGCAGTACCATATGATCACTGTCTCCACTGTAGTTTGGTTGCAATGATATTGCACTGATTGGTCAAGTGCCCATCGCCTGTAAATATGAGGCTAGATTAAAGAAATAGATGTCCACAGAAGTGGTCCATGTATTTCAGGGACCAATGGACCAACATTGCTAAGACACAGGTCGTCATGTATGTTTCAGGGGCCAATGGACCCACATTGCTGAGACACAGGTCATCATGTATGTTTCAGGGGCCAATGGACCCACATTGCTCAGACACAGGTCGTCATGTATGTTTCAGGGGCCAATGGACCCACATTGCTCAGACACAGGTCATCATGTATGTTTCAGGGACCAATGGACCCTAATTGCTCAGACACAGGTCGTCATGTATGTTTCAGGGGCCAATGGACCCACATTGCTCAGACACAGGTCATCATGTATGTTTCAGGGACCAATGGACCCACATTGCTCAGACACAGGTCATCATGTATGTTTCAGGGGCCAATGGACCCACATTGCTCAGACACAAGTCGTCATGTATGTTTCAGGGGCTAATGGACCCACATTGCTCAGACACAGGTTGTCATGTATGTTTCAGGGGCCAATGGACCCACATTGCTCAGATACAGGTCATCATGTATGTTTCAGGGGCCAATGGACCCACATTGCTCAGACACAGGTCGTCATGTATGTTTCAGGGGCCAATGGACCCACATTGCTCAGACACAGGTCATCATGTATGTTTCAGGGGCCAATGGACCCACATTGCTCAGACACAAGTCGTCATGTATGTTTCAGGGGCTAATGGACCCACATTGCTCAGACACAGGTCGTCATGTATGTTTCAGGGGCCAATGGACCCACATTGCTCAGACACAGGTCATCATGTATGTTTCAGGGGCCAATGGACCCACATTGCTCAGACACAAGTCGTCATGTATGTTTCAGGGGCTAATGGACCCACATTGCTCAGACACAGGTCGTCATGTATGTTTCAGGGGCCAATGGACCCACATTGCTCAGATACAGGTCATCATGTATGTTTCAGGGGCCAATGGACCCACATTGCTCAGACACAGGTCGTCATGTATGTTTCAGGGACCAATGGACCCACATTGCTCAGACACAGGTCATCATGTATGTTTCAGGGGCCAATGGACCAACATTGCTCAGACACAGGTCATCATGTATGTTTCAGAGGCCAATGGACCCACATTGCTCAGAAACAGGTCATCATGTATGTTTCAGGGGCCAATGGACCCACATTGCTCAGACACAGGTCATCATGTATGTTTCAGGGGCCAATGGACCCACATTGCTCAGACACAGGTCATCATGTATGTTTCAGGGACCAATGGACCCACATTGCTGAGACACAGGTCATCATGTATGTTTCAGGGGCCAATGGACCCACATTGCTCAGACACAGGTCGTCATGTATGTTTCAGGGGCCAATGGACCCACATTGCTCAGACACAGGTCATCATGTATGTTTCAGGGGCCAATGGACCCACATTGCTCAGACACAGGTCGTCATGTATGTTTCAGGGGCCAATGGACCCACATTGCTCAGACACAGGTCATCATGTATGTTTCAGGGGCCAATGGACCAACATTGCTAAGACACAGGTCATCATGTATGTTTCAGGGGCCAATGGACCCACATTGCTCAGACACAAGTCGTCATGTATGTTTCAGGGGCCAATGGACCCACATTGCTCAGACACAGGTCATCATGTATGTTTCAGGGGCCAATGGACCCACATTGCTCAGACACAGGTCATCATGTATGTTTCAGGGGCCAATGGACCCACATTGCTAAGACACAGGTCATCATGTATGTTTCAGGGGCCAATGGACCCACATTGCTAAGACACAGGTCATCATGTATGTTTCAGGGGCCAATGGACCCACATTGCTCAGACACAAGTCGTCATGTATGTTTCAGGGGCCAATGGACCCACATTGCTCAGACACAGGTCATCATGTATGTTTCAGGGGCCAATGGACCCACATTGCTCAGACACAGGTCGTCATGTATGTTTCAGGGGCCAATGACCCCATTTTGCTCAGACACAGATGCTGGTATTTGTTTTCTGGGACCAGGGACCCTGGGTTCTGGCAATCTGAAGTACTGGTCTATAGGCCAGTAACTAAGGCAACAGTGAAATGAGGTTCCCTACATATATGTGTACTTACTTATAGGCCTTGAGCTTACACTCGTCTAGTTTTGTTCTGACACTTGCCCACTCGGGATGTTCCGTTTGTTTGGAAGACTTGCTGACCTTCTTCACAGACCTGGAGGGGGAACATGTCAAACACATATAGCCAGATATCAACAACAGCTTCTTCTATATATATCTAAACATCAGTCGTACTACAAAACTAGAGACTGGGCCAGACTTTAGACAATTGTATATTAATGTATTAGTATCTGAAAAGAAACCTTGCATTGAAAGAGTGTGAGTATGTTTTTCCACCGCTTTTAGCAATATTCCAGCAATATCACGGCGGGGAACCGGAAAATGGCCTTCACACATTGTACCCATGTGTGGAATCGAACCCGGGCCTTCGACGTGACGATGTCACAAGCCAACGTTTGACATCTAGGCTACCCGACTGCCTATGCATTGAAAGAACAACAAAGAAGTTGAAATCCATGGGTTAAACCTGCCTTGCTACTACAGCTTCAAATGCCACTTACAGTTTTCATGTTCTGACCACAAACTCATTAGTTATGCTGTCTTCTTCAAGCAAAGCCCTTTCAAAGACCTAAATCAGCTGAATCACACTGTCCTGCAGTTTAAACAAACTGGAGTGAGTGAGTATTTGCTTTTATGCCACTTTTAGCAAAATTCCAGCGATATTATGGTGCCGAACACAAGAAATGGGCTTCACACATTGTAGCCATGTGTGGAATCGAACCGAAGCTTCTTGCATGACGTGTCAACAGTTTAGCCACTAGGCTACCTACCGCCCTAGAACAAACTGGACCAGATAAATCAGTATAGCGTCGGTATTACCTGACTGTGTCGGACTTCTGCCACACCACAGGCCCCAGAATGCACTGCTGCAGGTGGGGGGCCAACTCGGCCAACGCTGAACACAGCCTTCCGACCAGAAGAATTCTGAAATTGAATGTGCATATTTTTTAATCGAAGTGACCGTGAAGGGCATGTTTACTGTTGCAGCAGTATCACAATTCATTACCCCAACAGCTTCCATCGGAGATATTACTGAGATCAAGCGCTATCGCCTTGGTAATATTGCTGAAATGAAATTGCATCAAAATTCGCCGTAGACAATTGTGATTTCATTGCTTATGTGAAAGTTTTCTGAATTTAGCAATGTATGCTTCAGAATAAAACATATAGAAAAGTTGATAAACAGTATTCTTATTTATTGTTTTACATCAATTCAGTCGATAGTGTAGTGTGACATCCATGTTAACTGTTAATATTTTAACTTGTCATCGATGAATTGCCATCAGGTCAAAGGTAGTTGTGATGCTTTGTTAGTTACACAGAGCTCCAGATAAGCTTTTGGTATTGTGGGTATTTTACCCATGCATTTTAAAATCATTGGGTATCAGTAATTCTATCTGCGTATTCAAATTTCTGTTACCCACTAGTTTTTACACATGTGGGTATTTAAGTTAAATATTTAAAAACACTATTCATCTAGTCCCTGCAAACTGGTGTCGTGTGGGTTCGAGAGCTTTATAGGACTCAAAAATACAACGATACTTCCACAAGAAAGTGTGATGGCAAATGATCATGATGTAACTGTCATCGTGGAGTTTGGCAAGGTTGACGGAATGCCCGTTTATAATTTCAAAATAAGTTGCTGATTTGCTAATCGAATACGCAGGGTTACTTCACAATATTTTGATAATACGCACAAGTTTTATTTTTGTAGCGTATCTGTAATGTTCGTTGCGTATTTGATACGCTTGGATTATATTTTACTGTGTATTTCTGCATTTCTGATGCGTATTTCACGCAGATACGCAGCTTATCTGGAGCTCTCGTTACACTATTCTGGGAGCAAGGAACTGTAGCAGAGAAAGGTTACTCTGTGGGCTGTCCGTCCCTGTGTACAAGTCAAACTTACTTGTTCTCCGTGCTGAAGTTTGTCGTTGGATCAGGAATTTCAAATGATTTCTGCCACAGTTTTAACTGCTCTGTGAGATAATTCAAGACACTGTGAAGAAACACAAACAGCTACAGACACACACTGAGAATGTCACTGAAGATAAAAATAATACTTCAATCACAACCATTCCTGTGATAAAACAAACTAGCCCCCTATCTGATATTAAAAAAATCTGTAAGAAATAATCAATGATCATGCATGAATATATACACACCATATGAAAATAATTTCAGTCTGTACAAACATTTTACTAAAAGTTTAGAATAATAATTATCCTACAATTATCCTTGGATAAATGAAAGCTGCAGGCTGATCACTGGTCAAGTGAATTACCTCTTTGTCCTTAAGAGTTGTCTCCCTTAGATGATACATCCGCCACCCGCCCATCAACTCACAACCATTCATCCGCCCACTGACCCATACCCATCCAACCCACCACCAGCCCACACCCATCCACACACCCACCCATCGAAGTATTGATGATGGGTTACACAAAGAAGAACTTTTTGCCTTATTATCATGTACTAAGCATACTTGTTACATGTTGTTGAAATCGTGTAACATTGGATGCCTACTCACTCCTGGACAGCCGTGGTGCTGGCGGACTGGACGTAGGTCAGTATCAACATGCTGTCTCCATACTTATCAAAGGGGCCTGGAGTGTCCAGGGTCTTCTTGACCCCTGACACCGCCCCTTCCTCCTCCTCCCCTGCCTGAAGGTAGGGTCTGTTGTCCTCGAGAAGATTCTTCAGCTTGTCGTCTATGTGCCGACATAAGCTGAAATATTCGACATAACGTCACTACATGGAATAATAATGAACATGAACAACCTAAAGGCCTGCTTTTTCTTAGAATCAACATTGGTCACTCAAAGCTTTGAAACTGAGTTGGAACAGCTAGAACATGCAGGTATGTCATTATGAAATGCCTAAACATAAATGTAAACTGTACCAGTAGAACTGTACCAACCTCTGTACCAGTAGAACTGTACCTACCTCTGTACCAGTAGAACAGTACCTACCTCTGTACCAGTAGAACAGTACCTACCTCTGTACCAGGAGAACAGTACCTACGTCTGTACCGGTAAAACAGTACCTACCTCTGTACAAGCAGAACAGAACCAGTAGATCTGTACCAGTAGAACTGTAACCACCCCAGTACCAGTAGATCTGTACGTACCCCAGTACCAGTAGATATGTACGTACCCCAGTACCAGTAGATCTGTACCTACCCCAGTACCAGTAGAACTGTACCTACCCCAGTACCAGTAGATCTGTACCAGTAGAACTGTAACCACCCCAGTACCAGTAGATCTGTACGTACCCCAGTACCAGTAGATCTGTACGTACCCCAGTACCAGTAGATATGTACGTACCCCAGTACCAGTAGATCTGTACCTACCCCAGTACCAGTAGAACTGTACCTACCCCAGTACCAGTATATCTGTACCAGTAGAATTGTAACCACCCCAGTACCAGTAGATCTGTACGTACCCCAGTACCAGTAGATCTGTACCTACCCCAGTACCAGTAGATCTGTACCTACCCCAGTACCAGTAGAACTGTGCCTACCCCAGTACCAGTAGAACTGTACCTACCCAAGTACCAGAAGATCTGTACCAGTGGAACTGTAACCATCCCAGTACCAGTAGAACTGTACCTACCCCAGTACCAGTAGAACTGTACCTACCCCAGTACCAGTAAATCTGTACATGTAGAGCTGTACCTACCCCAGTACCAGTAGATCTGTACATGTAGATCTGTACCTACCCCAGTACCAGTAGATCTGTACATGTAGATCTGTACCTACCCCAGTACCAGTAGATCTGTACCTACCCCGGTACCAGTAGATCTGTACATGTAGAGCTGTACCTACCCCAGTACCAGTAGATCTGTGCTTGTAGAAATGTATCTACCCCGGTACCAGTAGATCTGTACCAGTAGATCTTTACCTAACGGGGACCAGTAGATCTGTACTTGTAGAGCTGTACCTACCCCAGTACCAGTAGATCTGTGCTTGTAGAGCTGTACCTACCCCAGTACCAGTAGATCTGTGCTTGTAGAGCTGTACCTACCCTAGTACCAGTAGATCTGTACATGTAGAGCTGTACCCACCCCAGTACCAGTAGATCTGTACTTGTAGAGCTGTACCCACCCCAGTACCAGTAGATCTGTACATGTAGAGCTGTACCTACCCCAGTACCATTAGCTCTGTACATGTAGAGCTGTACCCACCCCGGTACCAGTAGATCTGTACATGTAGAGCTGTACCCACCTCTGTACCAGTACATCTGTACATGTAGAGCTGTACCCACCCCAGTACCAGCAGCACTGTACATGTAGAGCTGTACCCACCTCTGTACCAGTAGCACTGTACATGTAGATCTGTATTGTAGAGCTGTACCCACCTCTGTACCAGTAGCACTGTACATGTAGATCTGTATTGTAGAGCTGTACCCACCTCTGTACCAGTAGCACTTTACATGTAGAGCTATACCCACCTCTGTACCAGTAGCACTGTACATGTATATCTGTATTGTAGAGCTGTACCCACCTCTGTACCAGTAGATCTGTACATGTAGAGCTGTACCCACCTCTGTACCAGTAGCACTGTACATGTAGAGCTGTACCCACCTCTGTACCAGTAGCACTGTACATGTAGAGCTGTACCCACCCCAGTACCTGTAGCACTGTACTTGTAGAGCTGTACCCACCCCAGTACCAGTAGCACTGTACATGTAGAGCTGTACCCACCTCTGTACCAGTAGCACTGTACTTGTAGAGCTGTACCCACCCCAGTACCAGCAGCACTGTACATGTAGAGCTGTACCCACCCCAGTACCTGTAGCACTGTACTTGTAGAGCTGTACCCACCCCAGTACCAGTAGATCTCTACCTACCCCAGTACCAGCAGATCTGTACCTACCCCAGTACCAGTAGCACTGTGCTTGTAGAGCTGTACCCACCTCTGTACCAGTACATCTGTACATATAGAACTGTACCCACCCCAGTACCAGTAGATCTGTACATGTAGAGCTGTACCCACCCCAGTACCAGTAGATCTGTACATGTAGAGCTGTACCCACCTCTGTACCAGTACATCTGTACATGTAGAGCTGTACCCACCTCTGTACCAGTAGATCTGTACATGTAGAGCTGTACCCACCCCAGTACCAGTAGATCTGTACATGTAGAGCTCTACCTACCCCAGTACCAGTACATCTGTACATGTAGAGCTGTACCCACCTCTGTACCAGTTGAACTGTACATGTAGAGCTGTACCCACCCCAGTACCAGTACATCTGTACATGTAGAGCTGTACCCACCTCTGTACCAGTACATCTGTACATGTAGAGCTGTACCCACCTCTGTACCTGTAGCACTGTGCTTGTAGAGCTGTACCCACCCCAGTACCTGTAGCACTGTACATGTAGAGCTGTACCCACCTCTGTACCAGTACATCTGTACAAGTAGTGCTGTACCCACCTCTGTACCTGTAGCACTGTGCTTGTAGAGCTGTACCCACCCCAGTACCTGTAGCACTGTACATGTAGAGCTGTACCCACCTCTGTACTGCCGGTGTAAAGGCCCGGGCCTTGAGGATGAGGCCCCCACCATCAGCCAGACTCTTGTTGGAGGGGGTCCACACCGAGCTGGCAGCAATGTCTCCGCTCGACTCAGTCCACAGATAGCTGGCCAGGTTCGTTTCATGCTGCAGCGAGCTGGACAATATGAAGGGAAGGTCATCAAAACACATTATTCTCTATAAATTCGAAATATATGTTTAGTGGTACACTCTTGCCATCGCCATATAGCAGGAAACTGACCAATATCTTCCACAGGGCAACATCATGTTCCTTTATCTGACACATATCTCAGATGGATATTTCACGACGCATCATTTTTATCAAAGTTACCATTTATTATAACTGTTTATTGCATATTGTTATGGTCATGATGATTATAGCGTTTTATCATCAAAGACTGGATGTCCACAGGGGATATCACTTGTGTGAGATCAATAATGAAATTTCATCGCAATGCTTTGCGGATCATTGGGACGTCATGGGTTACCATGAAGTCACAATTATATGAAATCACTCATTTCTCTCCCACTGAAGGGGCGGTCGGGTAGTCTAGTGGTTAAAGCGTTTGCTCGTCACGCCGAAGACCAGGGTTCGATGTGTGAAGCCCATTTCTGGTGTCCCCCGCCATGATATTGCTGGAATATTGCTAAAAGCGGCGTAAAACCATACTCACTCACTCTCCCACTGAAGTATGTTAGCTGTAGTTTTTCACACTCAAGACCCTGGTTATTACTGTTTACAAACTGTTATCAATAAGTGTTAAAATATTTGATATGAAAAGCCAAAGCGGTTGAGATTTTCTAATTTTTGAAGTACAGAATTGATGAGATAACATTGAAAGTTTACTTGTATTCATAAATGTGAAAGAAAATTATCAGGATTATCAGAAATGAAATCAGATGCCAATGTGTCTTGTGTGTTCATGTAAGTACAATTATGGTGTATATATTTTCATATATGATGACAACATTTCTGTCGCAAGAGGCATTTTATTCAGGCAGGGCTCCATGACGTGCAGTGTCCATGACAGCAAATGAGTGAGTTGGGTTTAATACCACTTTAAGCACATGTTTCCGAGGCAAGTGAGTTAACTGACTATAAAAGTCTAGTTTCCACCTTGCTGAACTAGGCTGGTATTATGGCGTTACATTTTGGCTGGAGTAACGAGTCTATGCATAGTCCAATCACAATCGTGCAACGAAATCGAAATCGGCAAGGGTGGAACTGGACTTTTAAAGTCATAAACTGTCAATCAGATTTCGGTTGATTGCAAGATTTGCAAAGCATGCGCACCGCCAACTCATTGTCAACAGATATTTTCCAAATCTTTTCATGTTTTTAATCAAGGTGCTCACATGATTTGATGCACTTGGCGATGTAAGACCTGTTCTATCACAATATAGATCTTGATTATCAATTGACCAGGCGCCGCCATTTTGTTTGAAGCAAATGCAAGTGATACGAGAGGTGGAATCTGATTGGTCCATAGGAGTGGCATAGAAGGGACATAACTCATAATAGCCACTGGTGGCGCTACGATCGAGCCAAGGAATTCCAGGCTAGTTCGGCAAGGGAGGAAACTGGACTTTTAAAGTCAGTTAACTCTCTTGCCTCGGGAAGATGCTTCAAGCATGGCACCTACCTGTCATTGGTGTCGGGGGTGAGTTCGATCATCACCTTGGACACATTCCGCTTGGTGTGTTCCGCTGCTGTGTCAAGCTGATACTGGATCAGTTGCTACAAACAACATGGAGAAAACACCATTACTACCTCATGGAATCTCATAACTAAAACTACATGCCGAAAAATATACTAACCTAGACTGCAAGCAGCACCTGTTTCCAAGCTATTTTTTTTTTTTAAACATCCCAAAAGGACGGCTTTTTCCTTGTTACTGGTGTGTTCCAAGTGTAAGAAAAATAGTAGGAAATATTTTTGAAATAACTAAGTCACATTATCCACTTTTGTTGACTTTTGTTTAATTAAAAAATAAAATGAGGCATACTTTGTATAATATAATAATAAAATGGCTGCTCCAATCTGTACTGTTCTTTGATCAGGTGTAGAACTATTTCTACAATAATTATTTAATCTGAAATGAAAGATTTCAGAACAAATACTCCCCAAAAGCCCTGCCTGCCTGGGTTGTTACTACAGAGTCTCAAGGAAAGTAGTCTTGAGGACATCGGAACTGACCTTGACCCTGTCCACAAAGAGTGGTTGCAGGAAGTCCCCCCAGACACGCAGTGTTTTGTTGACGACTCTCCGGCAGATCAAATCCCACTGACTCTCATCCCCATCCTGCAAACACAAAACACTGGGAGTTGATCACATGCATATACGTCATGGCTGGAATTACACAGAGAAGGAAGTGACATGTAAGATTTTGTTATACTTGGAGTTGTATGGAAGAAAACTATACCTGAGTGAGGAGCTCCCACAGTGAGTCTCGGATGTCCGCCAGGCGCTTCACGGTGTTGACAAATCCCAGCAGTTTCCCCACCCCAGACTTAATGTCATTGATGCAGCTGGGGACACACAGACATTTAGGCATCAGGACAACCTCCGCACAATGAATCAAACATTCCTTAACAATCATCAAAATAAATTATGGATTCTTGTGTTGATAATAATATACATGTACCGTATTCGACGTAATAAGCGCCCCGCTCTAATAAGCGCCCACAGCGATTTTTGCTAATATATTGGCTTGTGAACAAGCCCAATTTGCACCCCTTCCAATTGATCAATGTACACTTATTTATTCGTGTTATTATTTATTCATATGCACGCTTTATTATGGTTAAATAAATTCTGAAAAATATATCTGTCATGTATAATACGCACATACTTTTCTTTTTTGTCATTTCAGGCTGTCAGCATAAACCACGAAATTTAAAATCTTTCAACTCTGGTTTTTTTCTCACTAAAATTATATTCTAATAAGAGCCCCCTATTTCTAACTTTGAGAGCACCCTGGGCGCTTATTACGTCGAATACGGTATTATTGAAACAACTTACGTGTTGATCCACTGTTGGCAGTTGTCCTGGATGTGTTGGGAGGATATTGTGGACCCTGCACTTCTCAGCACAGGACGGAAATCTGTCAGGGGGAAACGAGTATACAATCTATTATCTGAATGGAGAATAATACATCATTTGATGATGTTGTTTGTTGCTGAACTCAGTAATGTTTTAGCTATATGATGGCAGCTTGGAAGCAATTGATTTTGGGTCAGTGACTGATATTATGAGCAACAATCCACACAATCGTGGTACCCTAACTCAACCCTAATCCCCAAGTCTCCGAGTCTGACCGCCATTAATTCACCTCTATCGACCAGCATAGATAGCTAGGATCTGTTCAATCTCTGAACCCCCATAGGGTTGGTTTGGCAATGAGTATACAATCCATGCAAATATGTTCAATAATTATATACCTAACTTTCATTATGTCAATGAAAATATTAAACTGTTTGTTATCTTGTTTGATAGGCATTTAGAAGTTGGAGTACTAAGTAAGGATAAGAAATTTATGGATGAACAACTTCTTTATTACAATCAAGAGCGACGTTTCGGTGTAGGTTCTAACACCGTTATCAAGCAAGTGATTATACAGAGTGCAGTAAGTAAGTATATATACACGTAGGAGGCAATGTACACACAAGGGCAGTGATGATAACCATCGGTGAAGTCAGTGCCATGAAACCAAGGGATGAAGCCAGTAATGTAAACAACGGGATTATGGCTGATTGGGGTCATCAAAGACCCCAAAGACCCCAATCAGCCATAATCCCGTTGTTTACATTACTGGCTTCATCCCTTGGTTTCATGGCACTGACTTCACCGATGGTTATCATCACTGCCCTTGTGTGTACACAACAGGCTTCTCTACCCCAGTATAACAATATCTACCCTACTGTATAAACATTGCCTCCTACTTGTATATATACTTGCTTACTGCACTCTCAAAATCAGAAATTAAAAGTGTAAACAAGCAAAAAATCACCAAAAAATGGCATAACCTATATCTAAACTCAAATAGCCAAATCAAAAAAGTGCTCAGCAAACCACTTACCAAACCAAAAATTCTCCATCCATCCAGAAAAATCGACAGAGTAATCACTAAACTCCAAACAGGACACACCAACCTAAATAACCACCTAAAAAAATTTAAAAAACACACTACAGGTAACTGCCCACACTGCAAACAACCAGAAACCCCAGAACACGCACTCATCCACTGCACACACTACCTAACACATCGAACCGCATTACAAACCACCCTCAATCTAAACAAGGCTCTAACTCTAGAAGCAATACTAAACCCACAAAATAAACTAGAAAACTTCAAGGCCTTAGGCGTATTCTTAATCAAAACGGAACTAATAAAACGCATCTAAAAACACAATAACTCACCAAATCAAAATCACATAAACAAACAAACATCCACCATACCCAGCTCCCTTAGTTCTCCTCCCCAATCCCATCGGCATCTATTCCAAATCTCAAAATTCCCAAATTCTATATAAGCAACCCCTAAAACCCCCCTCTTGGGTTGCACAGACCACCTTCGCCCCTTTCGGAAACACATTAAATGGCCTGGCCGGGCCCGTGTGCGAAATACGCATCAGTCGGAAAGCGCACGTTAAATCTCCAAAGTAAGTAAGTAAGTAACTCTGTATAATCACTTGCTTGATAACGGTGTTAGAACCTACACAGAAACGTCGCTCTTAATTGTAATAAAGAAGTTGTTCATCCATAAATTTCTTATCCTTACTGTTTGGTTTTCTTGTTGTTTAACACCACACTCAGCAATATTCCAGCTGTATGAGGGCGTTCTAAATAATCAATCCTGGACCAGACAATCCAGTGACTCACATCATTAGAATCAATGAAATTGAGAAAAGATTATATGACTAACCATCCATTTAGTCACCTCTGGGCACCTATATTTTTACCAGAAATCCCCACAGGCGTACAAACTAACATACATGTGTCGTTTACGTTTTCCGTGATTCTATCAGCAACATGACACCACAGCCGTCAGTTATTATAAACTTAATCACCATTACTACAAGTACAGCGTATTCAACCACACAAATGTCATAACAAAAATGAACGTTTTACAAAGTGTCAAATTAAAACAGAAAACCTCCAGTAAAATATGGCTTAAAAAAAACGAGACATTATTCAAATAATTTTATCTGTTAGTCATTATCAAAATAAAAAATAGCATGTTTTATACTTAACACAAGAAAGTGTTCTGATTGGGAAATTACGTACCTTTGACAGATTTTGGCAGACATTTGGCTGATATTGATCCCTGCAGGCTCAGCAAACCCCCAGCTGTCAATGTATCAATCAATATTTCAGCTAGCTGGGCAATATGCATATATACAGTAGCCTAGGTCAAGTCCGATTGTTGCCAAAGAAACACAAAACATATTTTCTTCAGAAATAACAAAACACCAAAAGGCACCAGTTCAGCATGTGTTTAATACATATGTAAAGTTTCATAATAAAATATCAAACAGTTTCCGAGTTAAGCCCAGGAAAGGAACCATACATGTGTCCAGTTGTTGATATGGAACACAAAAAATATTTTTTTAGAAATACCAAAACACCAAAAGGAACCAGTTCACCTGGTGCTTTTGTAATAAAATATTAAACGGTTTCTGAGTTATGCTCCGGAAACAAAACATGATGAACGGACAGAAGGACAGCACCCATTCCGATATAATAATCACATATCCATAATCTAAAAATAATCACACAAATTGACTGGCCAAACCTGTAGTCAATAATATGTCTTCCTACTCAACCAACAAACCCAAACACATCATGCCAAATAAAACACAAAAAATAATAATTTAAATTTAAAATAATGTGCAACGATCCATGAACCATGAACAAAAACAGGTCAGGACTTCTTTGTCATCTAGAATCTGCCCCAGAATCAACCAAGGAAAACAATTCACTTCTAAATCATGTAGATAGCATAAAGTACACGACATCCTACCTTCCTGGGACTTGTTGAGCACCTGCTCCAGGATCTCCGACAGCAGATTGCACTGCCCTGCAACAAACAGGACCATCTCACTCATCATGCTCACATCACTTGGAATAACCAACACTATTCCTACAAGTGTTTTAATGAGCAGGACTCTTTCTCACGACCAAGGATTTTACCGATAATATGCCAGGGTGATTAACTGATGACATGCAAGCATGTTTTACTGATTTCAAGTCAAGCTGTTTTACTGATGACATGCCAGGGTGTTTTACTGATAACATGACAGCATGTTTTACTGATTTTCAAGTCAAGCTGTTTCACTGATGACATGCCAGGATGTTTTACTGATAACATACCAGTGTGCTTTACAGATAACATGTCAGCATGTTTTACTGATTACAAGTCAGACTGTTTTACTGATGACATGCCAGGGTGTTTTACTGAGGCAGGCAGTGCCTGAGAGAGACACTTAGACTTAGGGGTACAGATATCATCATCCAATTCATTCAGACAGAGTAACAGACCACTATTAATGAAAGTCGACAAACTGACAGTGGCCATCTGGGAGTGAGTCCCACTACGCAAGTCACAGCATCAAGAAACATTCATCACCTCCTTTTTCCTTCTCCCCTGCAATGGCGGTGTTGTAGAAGACGGCGTGGATCTGGTGAACGGTGTTGATGAGGAGGCGAACCACCGAGGACACCTGGTCTTTGATGTTCCCATGCAGGCTAGTGTGGAGGGCTTGCTGCAGGGCTTTCTAGGAGACAAATGGGCGGTGCCATTGTGGCATTACTAACATCATATATCTACCACCCTTTCTGGGAGACAAACGGGCAGTGCCATTGTGGCATTACCAATATCATATATCTCCCACCCTTTCTGGGAGACAAACAGGCGGTGCCATTGTGGCATTACTAACATCATATATCTACCACCCTTTCTGGGAGACAGACGGGCAGTGTTATTGTGGCATTACCAATATCATATATCTACCACCCTTTCTGAGAGACAAACGGGCAGTGCCATTGTGGCATTACCAATATCATATATCTACCACCCTTTCTAGGAAACAAACAGGTGGTGCCATTGTGGCATTACCAATATCATATATCTACCACCCTTTCTAGGAGACTAACAGGCGCTGCTATTGTGGCATTACCAATATCATATATCTACCACCCTTTCTAGGAAACAAACGGGCAGTGCCATTGTGGCATTACCAATATCATATATCTACCACCCTTTCTAGGAAACAAACGGGCAGTGCCATTGTGGCATTACCAAGATCATATATCTACCACCCTTTCTGGGAGACAAACGGCCGGTGCCATTGTGGCATTACCAATATCATATATCTACCACCCTTTCTAGGAAACAAACGGGCAGTGCCATTGTGGCATTACCAATATCATATATCTACCACCCTTTCTGGGAGACAAACAGGTGGTGCCATTCTGGCATTACCATATTATCTACCAACCTTTTTGCGAGCATGTATATAAAGGCAATGCCATTGTGACCTTATCCTTACCATATTATGTATCTATCACCCTTTTCAATCAACTGTTCATCTGTTTCATTAAGAAAACTTTAATAATCAACCAAAGTTGGCACATGAGGGTGTTACTTTGGAGATGTCATGCTGTCAGTGTAACCATGGTAACTACTCACAGTCCTGGCAAGAAGGAACTCATTGAAGACTTGTCTGGGGGTGCTGTCTTCCAACAGTAGGATCGAACACAGGAACTCAGCTATTTGCTGGCAAGAACACATTTTTAAAAATATATAGCCATTGACATCATCAGTTTATCAGAGAGAACAAATACAATAGATGGATTAATAATATACAACATCAATGCTAGAAAATAACTTGATTAACCGAAACAAATTCCCTTTGGCAGAAAAGGGAAAATAGCTGTGAAATTAATATGAAAGGATTACTGAAAATCGGTAATGACACCCATGTTTGCAAACAAGGTATGCATGTCCTTAATCCTCTTCATGTGACTGTGTAATTGTGATCAATATCAGTGTAGTCATCAAGAAAAAAATAATTTGTTTTTTATGAAACATCAATAATTCACCTTCTTAGCGACATTCTTCACATCTGTTAAGTGAGACACAAGTACTTTTCTAAAGCCTCAGATGCTTGGGAGTGAGGGCCCACTACTTATAATAAGATTGCAGCTACTGACTCCAACTCTACCAGTCCTTGTTTTAGCCCCTCAATGCACCAGGCAGGGTAACAACTACTATCTTTAACGTTGATTGGTACGACGTGGCTGTGGATTGAACCACCACTGACCTTCACCTCTCTGGGCAGACGCTCTACCACTAGCCCACAGAGGCGGTCCTCATCGGATAACTTCATAACAATGTCTAACTGCTCCTTCTCATATATATTGTCCTTCGGTTTCATCATCACAGCTATTCAAACAAACACCTGTGTAAACAATCATACACCAGCACAACAAAGCACAGCTAGAATAGAGAAGCCTGTGTATTACTGTGTTAATAAAGTTCTCAAAAACAGTCAACATCTACACCACAGTGATGCCTTGTAACAGTCCTCGAATTACCAGCTACAACTATGGACAAAGCAAGCAGCACTTCAGAGTGGGGAGCCACTATTAAGACGTTCACCGAAAAAGCTCTAATGCCATAAAAATGCAATAAAGTTAATTGGTCAATTTACCCAAACCTTATAAAAGCTAGTAGTACTACCTGTACGTGCTAAGGTATTAGAAATAGTTGGAGTATTTTTGTTTTTGTTTTGGTTTGCCTGTTACTGAGACCTAGTTATACAGTCTGTAAATGGTTCCTTCAACAGGTGATGTCCCTTCATAGGAAATGGGAACTAATACGACACCATAGAAAAATTCATATCAGGTGGAGGCCATGAATCATGGAGAAATGGTCAAAACTGCAGTTGACCTGATCAATCATTACTTTTATTTAATAGATTAAACTTGTGCCAAGGCTGAATTGATTCGACAAGTCTCATGAATGTTTTGAGATATTCATCTTTAATCTGTGCCATGGACTACACGTTAACACCACGTTTCACCTGTGTATTGGCAGTACACACTACACAATCATGTTTTCAACCATGTTTCTAAGTGAGTGAGTGAGTATGGTTTTATGCCGCCTTTAGCAATATTCCAGCAATATCATGGCAGGGGACACCAGCAATGGGCTTTACACATTGTGGGGAATCGAACCTGTGTCTTCGGCGTGACGAGTGAACACTTTAGCCACAAGGCTACTGCACCGCTTTCATGTTTCTAAGACACCACAACTCTTCATGTAGTTTTGTTCATAGCATGATAAATGAACATAGATACATTTCTTATACTGGTAGTCTGTCCAATCACGTCACTAATTTACCAATTTGTTAACATTTGGATTGTAGTAGAAATAGTTATTTAGATATTTTGTTCTTACATCACTGTACAATGTGTACTGGATATACACATACACAGTTATATTCATCTTCGATACAACTATTTTCACAAATTCTACAAAGTCTATGTTTTATTAAAAAACCTTAGATATATGCCTGTTTCAATAAATAAATCATGTGAACGACAACGGAATCGAGAAAAAGAGCTATTCTAAACTTAGTCTTATTAACTTTGGAGTTTACTAGCCCGAAGAAGGCTCTAAGCATCATTTTTAATAGTCTTTAGTATCACTAGATAGACGGTTATTAGCTGAGCTTACCAAACAGACATTTACTGGACACAGGCTTCCAACTTGTGGCTCAAGTCACAGACTGAACCTAGGTAAATTAACATTTATAAGATAACGTTCTGCTATTAGTCATGCCCTGCTGAAAGACAGAAGGGTCCCCATGATGGAGATTTACCTTATCTGTGTAGGTTCCCTCCATGTCCTTCAGAGAGCTGCGACATCCCTGGAACCAGACGTACAGGTTGCAGCACACGAAAGTATGCATCCATAGGCACAAATTTGGATGGGTAAAAATGAATTTGAAATGATATCAGTATTTCAGTTCTGTTCCTTGATTTGGTTTGTTTGTTGTTTAACGCTGCACTCAGCAATATTCCAGCTACATGACAGTGGTCTGTAAATAACCTAGTCTGGACCAAACAAACCAGTGATTGATGCATTGAGCATCGATCCACGCAATTTGGATATGATGACATGCATCAACCAAGTCAGCAAGCCTGACCACCGATCTTAGTCGCCTCTTACGACAAGTAGAGTCGCCTTTTACAGCAAGCATGGGTTGCTGAAGATCAATTCTACCCCAGATCTTCACAGGTTGATGTTCCTTGAACCAACTAAAGCTTGGATGTGGTTTGAATCACAGCTTAAATACAAAAATCAAAATGTCTTTCACATACACAATGGTTTCAAAATGAGCATGCATGAAAAAGTGTCCTTCAACACTAAAGTCAAAATCTAATGATGAATGCGTCACCGATGTAGAAATGGTCTGACCTGCAGGATGGTGTTCTTGAAGTGGCTGATGGCGGCCCACTGCCGGGTGAGCACCGGGAACCAGGACAGGATGTTGGCAGAGCGCTGGGAGTTGAGCTGCAGACTGGTGTTGACGTGACGAGCCAGGAGGTACAACTGGGTGGCGGTCAGGTAGTCACGGCTATCGTTGCTGCTCCAGATCTACACACAGGGGACAGTTGTAGGCCACTTATATAGCTCTAAACTATGTATAGTGCATGGCACTATTAGCCAGGTCAACACACTATCTCTACATCTGCAGTATGTTTCCTTGAGAGTATGCCACAGCACTATGTAAGTATCGCAAGTAAATGCATAAACAGTGCAGTGTTTCCACTGACCAGTAATTTGCCAGCTGACTGAACCACATACTGAAACAATTTAACCCAACCGGTCCAAACTATTGAATGTACACATATTTTTTGGCACTGCAGGTCCAGTGAGCCAGTAATCCTATATCTGAATAGAAACTGGTTGGTTGGTTTCATTCTTTAACGCCGCACTCAGCAATAGTACAGCTTTATGACGGAGGTCTGCAAATAATCAAGTCTGGACCAAACAATCCAGTGATTAATATCATGAGCATCGATCCACGCAATTGGGATCGATGACATGCAGCAACAAAGTTAGCGAGCCTGACCACCCGATCCCGTTAGTCGCCTTTTACGACAAGTAAAGTCGCCTTTTACAGCAAGCATGGGTTGCTGAAGACCTATTCTACCCCGGAATCTTCACAGGTCGAATGGAAACTGAGTAGGCTCAAATAACACCAACAAAAAATTCCCACTGAGTCGATGAACAAGAACACTGTCTTTCTGACAATCATTAGTTGAATCCTCTTGCCCCAGCATCAGTTGTGGAACAAGCACCTGGTTGTTGACAATGTGGTCTCAATGGGATAGCTATAGGACACAGTACACTCATTTCCGTCTCAGCCTCACCTTCTCTGGCATATCCAGCAAGAGCTTAATCTGAGCAGCTACGCCATAAAACTCAGCCTCTTGCTTCTTCCTGCAAACAAACAAACATCTCCTTTTAAACTGTGCTAAGACATCTGTTTGTACACTTGACTTACTTCATTGAAAAATACTACGAGCTGTTGACCTTAATTACCTGATAAACCTCCAAATATGTAACGGAATAAGCATATCTGATCAGGTAAAATAGATTAAATGCCTTCAAAAGTCACCCGTATGGATCTGATTACAATTATATTGCAATTATCCTTTGTGTTAAGGCTGCCCTCGAGGTCCACTGATGACCCCCTGCATTATCAGACACTGGCGTCATTCCTTAATTTGCAACTGACATGATTTATCATTTCAGTTGTTTTTCTTGTTACTCTAGGCATTGTTTTATATGTAAAGATGAAGATTACTATGACTACTTGTCTCGTATACTGAGACGGAAATATCAATCATCTGTATAGAGCTTTTCTCCCTGATCCACTAGTGATTCAGTTAAGAAATTCTCAATAAAGTCATTTAAAGGAATTTTACTGCAATGATTCGGAGAAATGGTATCTGAAATTATCATTGTAGCAGGAATATTATATATAGAATACTAATAATACTAGACTCCTCTCAGTGATCTATCAACTCCACATGCAATGATGTTGAATAAGCCAAGGGATGTTGAGAGCTTTCAATATTTGTTCTAGAAACGTGTTCCGAGGGTACATTAGCACGCGTTTTGGTATTACACAATGTGTAATAAAGCTGTATGTTTATTAAACGGGTGATCTCTTCACGGCCAAGTAATAAATTCTAATATTATGTTATTTTTGTTGCAGTTTTCACTATATATATTTCAAATAATAAAAACCATAAGCATAGCAGTTTGGTATATTGGTGGATATTTTTAACTATGCCACCGAGTCACTGTTAGAGTCTTCCCTTGGTCTTGCTATTTCGCTAGCGGAAACAATATGTTGACTCCCATGCCGCTTCTGACAAATTTGTCCTTTAACAAGTCAAAGTATTGTATTTGTGATACATGTATCATTTCTCTGTCAACTAAGGTTAGTTTCAAGTTGTCAATAGTGGTAATCTGATTGTGGTAGCTGTACATAAAGGTGAGTTTCTCACACGTTTTCGCCAAAATTTATGTAAGCAATACTAAATGAAAATTTGAATAAAATCAATAAAATAGATTACAAATAGAAATCCAGATGTACAATGAACACTTATTATTACCAGATAGTGTAATAACAGGAGTCACTTGTGTAATTCATTATAAGTTTGTTGAAATGCTATTTCCAATGACATGAAGATGTGTGTTTGTGGGAAAATAACGGAACTTACAGAAGCCACTGATTACCCTGCAGTATAACATGGTATAAGAAGAACAGTAACATGAAAGGTGTTACAGCGAGCGAGGCTATATGTTTATACATATTTCTAACACTGCAGCAGTTGACTTACTTGCCCGTGGTGTTGTCGGCCTTGGCCTTTTGGTGGTAGGACACCCCACGCACCATGTAGTTCTGCTTCAGCTGTTTGCACATGTCCTCCATGTGGCCGATAGACTGGGTCACATTCTCCGAACTGGTCTTCATGTCTTTGATGGTGTCGGCTGCCTCGATCAAGTCCCGATACCGCTCTCTGAAGGAGTTCAAGCACCAATAAACATCACTCCCCCTCTGACGGAGTTCAAACACAAGGAGGTCACACAGGATGTGGGGAAAATGGTTTCAGTGAAGATCTACAGACACAGCCAGTAATATTCCAGCCACATCATGGAACCTCCTAAATAAATGAGTCTGGCGCAGGTATATCAGTGTTAAAACATAATTGACATTTCACAAAAGTTTAAAAGGTAATCATGGCAACAGGTATTGTTTTCTATTTGTTGGGTCCTTGTGGAGATGAGTCAGTTCACTGCGATCCACAGAATACCAACATTACAGGAAATATGCATGATTGAATTCCTTGTTTTTATACCTAGTTGTTCGTTTGTGTGTTGTTTAACGCTGCACTCGGCAATATTCCAGCTAAATGAAGGCAGTGTGTAAATATTCGAGTTTGGACCAGACAATCCAGTGATTAACATCATGAGCATTGATCCACGCAATTGGGATACGATGACATGCATCCACCAAGTCAGCGAGCCTGACCACCCGATTCCGTTGGTCGCCTCTAACGACAAGCATATTCGCCTTTTACAGCAAGCATTGGATGCTGAGTGTGAGTGAGTTGGGTTTAACGCCACTTTTAACAGTATTACAGTTATATCGCGGCGTGTCAGCTTAATGTGGGAGGAAAGCCCGAAGTGATGCAGGTCTCAGACGTTTACCACTTCGGTGATACCCACGAGCACGGATATGGTGCCGACAAACCTAGAAACATAATTGGGGCGAACCGGGATTAGAACCCACAATCATAGGTTTCTGGTGTGCCCAAGGGACGCAACTCTGCACAGCGAATCGCGGCGCCTTAGACGACTGGGCCACCCGTGCCCCCCATTGGATGCTGAAGACCTATTCTTCTCCGGATCTTTACCATATTAACAGGTGTCTAACTAGCTGAAATATTTGAGCTTCAATGACATTCAGTGTCCATTCAAACCCTGAGCCAATGCGGGCCCACTCCCCACCTCTCTCCAAACATGTGGGCCATGCAGGAAGAAATGTAGGGCCTGCAAAGTTTTCAAAAGAAATATCATGATCCCCAGAAATATTTTTTATTTTCTATCCCAGATTATCAGAATATGAACAGTTAGCTTGACTGAGTAGTCTGAAACTAGTCTCCCGTCAAACATCATCTTGTTTGCCCCCTTCATTATCAGTATCATTGTCCGGACTGTTCTCAGTACAGCGGTAGAAACTAACATTTTTGGTCCACTAGTCTAGTGCCAATTTCTAACCCTGCAGTACTTGACCACCGATATATTTCTGCTTCTGTCACATTACCATAAGCTTCTTGAAGCTTAGCAAGAAAAGAACATATTCTGGGCTGATGTAGTTTGGCAGACCAGTGTTCCATTACACATGGCATCTTTTAAATTGCACCATTCAATATCATTGGCTGAGTAAATGTCATAGACCAATCACCATCGGCCTTACAGAGTGACTCATCACATTGCTAGCATGGCAGGCAGGGAATTTCAAAGAAACATGTGTAGCTGCCATAAAATTTTTGATTTGAACCACAGACCTTCTGATCTGAGGTTGGACGCCTTGTCCACATGACCAAAGAGGTTAACCCTGTCAGCAAGCTGACATGGTAAGGATGTCATCTGTGGGATGACTCTATTCCCTGCTACACATGTAACAATTAGGTTGGCATTTCATGGCTTGTAAAAAAAGAAACATGTGCCCAACTCACCCAACCATGACTCGTAGATCTTCCTTCTTCTTCTCAATGTCAAGTCTGTGGAGAACACAAAAATACATCAGTAACCATGGTAACTGGTTCTAGTTGCACTCAGATTCAAGCATTCACAGCGAATACAAAAGCATGTACAGAAGAAAAGCAAAGAAACCTCAAATAGTAATTAAAGTTAGTCTGCTAGCCTCTGGTCAGCAACAATCTTAAAGGGCTACAGGTATGCTGGGTTTTTTAACTTTCACAGAAAAAATAAATCTTATCTTCTGAGTGAGGATAATTGCTTGGATACTGTTTCTTGTCCTTCACAACACAATGTACTTAGTGAGTAGAAGACCTTCTAATTCTTGGGTACAAGTTTCAGGAAAAACTGCTATTTCGTATATAATGCACAGTCAAAACCTACATTGTTTCACAACGGAGAACAGACTTAGTCAACATTTTAAAACAAATGGGAACTTTATGATAAACGATTACATGATGAATTTACAACATCAGTTGTATTTCCTGTACACTGGGTATTTTTTTTACATGCAAAAAAATAACATTATCATGTGTAGGCTAACTGTCTTATAAAATATGCAGGAAATGCCAACCTCAACTCCAACTTTCAACACAGGAAAAATCAAATTGTAACAAATAAAGGTATGGAGTGTCACACTTTGACATTTTCAGTTCACACTAGTTATCATGTTTATTGTATGTTTTACCATGTTTTAGATTCCACATTTGTCTGGTCATGTCAGTAGATTCACATTACAGAGTCACATTCCACACGGTCTGGCAGGAGGAGTAACTACCATGTCATGGTGACTCCTACAGTTTCAATTATTCAATGAATGGTTGGTTTTAGTTTCCAACCAAGGAATCGATCATAAAATGTAAAGTGAATGGAATGTGTGCTGCAATCTGATTGGTTGAAAACAATGTTTAACTGTGATTTGAAGTTTGGAAACCTACTGGATTATTCATTGTGCATGAATCATTTTCTGGATAATCAATTTTCTTTCCTCAATCCCAAATTTGGAAAACATCCAATATGGCTTGGAAAAATGGATACCACATTAATTACATGTTAAATTTCATCAAGGACAACTTTGACATATTTCTTGTTTTCCACAATCTGCTCATCTTCCCGAGGCAAGGGAGTTAACTGACTATAAAAGTCCAGTTTCTACCCTTGCTGAGATAGTCTAGGATTATGGTTTCATATTTTGACTGACCTAACAAGTCTATGCATAGTTCAATAAAAATCGCGTAATGAAATCAACATCCGGTTCGTAAACTGCCATGCATATTTCAGTTAATTGAGGGATTTGCAAAGAATGTGTTACCAACAACTTAATTTTTCTACATGCACTTAGTACATGAAGATATAAATATTAGGTTGCATTTTTCAATAATAAGTTGCACTGGTGCATGGTCGATGTAGCTAAATCGAGTCTTGATAATCCAAAATCTGGTCTTACAGATTGTCAAGTTCCCAATATTTCTACAGATATGTTCATATGAGTTTACCTGATTTTCTTTTCAGTGTCACGTATCTCTTCAATCGTCATCTTGTCAAAAAGTGAATTAGTGTCCATCTCGTTTGGCGGTTTGACTGAAACAGACATAAGTCATGTAGCCATCATTAAAACTATCATCCAATGCAAGTAATAGATACAGATATAAAGATAGACAGAGATATACATAGGAAGCACTGAACACTCAAGTTGTTGCTTAATGCCGCACTCAGCAATATTCCAGCTATATGACAGAGGTCTGTAAATAATCAAGTCTGGACCAGATAATCCAGTGATTGATACCATGAGCATCGATCCACGCAATTGATGACATGCATCAATCAAGTTAGCAAGCCTGACCACCCGATCCCAATAGTCGCCTCTTACGACAAGCATTGTTGCCTTTTACAGCAAGCATGGGTTGCTGAAGATCAATTCTAACCCAGATCTTCACGGGTCTAAACACTCAATCATACGTGTGATTAGTATTGCCTTTTTCTGCCACCTCATACATGATTCATGTCAACCAGTTCCAAGTTTCAATGATCTTAAACCATAACGAAGAGGTCAAACTATTATATTGTTTTTGAAGTTGATTCCGAGCCAGGAATTCAACAGCCATTCTGAACCTAATTTACAAGTAAAACTGACGCATCTTCAGGTCATTATGCAAAATTATCGAGAAATTATGTTACAACCATAACATTGTGTCAGTCAGAGAAATCACATGAATCTTTGGTGTGCATTGATTCACTCTAGGGATCAACAGATTCCAGGGATGTATCTAGGATTGCAGACAAAGTGTCCTTGGCAGACAAACTGGGTAAAAAAGCATAACATTGTTCAAAATTTGATTGTTTTAATGTTCTTGTTTTTGTAAATTCTGAAGAAATGGAAACGTTTTAATTCAAATTAGGAATGTTTACAGTCAAGTCTCGTTAATCCAACACACGTTAATCCGACAGTTGGCTTTATCCGACACAAATGATGGGAACGGATTAAATCGGTGCTATTTAGACCCGTTAATCCGACAGTCTCGCACTCCGACTCCGACACACCTAACTTGCAACAAATTGCCGAAATCACTCATTAATCAGTCTCGTTAATCCGACAGAGTGATCAGCGTACTCCGTAGTCATCTGCCCGCGAGTACACAGCCCCATGTTTTGATGCAAGACGAGTCGGCAAGTAGCTGCATATTTAAACGGCTGCAGAGATAAACTTACTAAACAATATTAACAATAAACAATTACTGCTTTTATTAAACAAAACAGGATTAATCACATGCCTAGATTACCTCAATCTCATTAAAATCGGATACAAGTTCTCGCTACCACTGAGGACATCCCATTACAGGTCAAGTCAGAAAGTCAGTTTTGTGTTAAACTTTAGAGGTTGCATGATTAGAAAAGATAGTCCACTAACAATGTAACACAACAATATGAATATTTCATTTTTCATTTTTTTGTTACAACATGTTTGAATCATTAACTATTGTGTAGTTTCCAATTTTCTATCACGAACGTTGATACTACCTAATTTCGTTTATCCAATATCCTTGTTAATCCAACATAATCATATGCAACCAACAATGTCGGAACGGGACTTGACTGTACATTGGGCCAAATATCAGCCTCTGAGCAGGTCTAGATAAATCCTGAGATTCTCATGATTTCACTTTGACATAATGTGGACAGGGTATTACTTGTGTTGTTCTTAGAGTCCTCTTGGAGTCTTATCCATTGCTTATAAGTTTTATACATCAAAGGAAACTGCATGCAATGTTTTTGTTGCCAGTGGCATGCTTATCCTGCAGGTAAAAAAACCAAAAGGGACAATTTAGCCCTTAGGTGAACAACTGTCATTTTCATCATGGCTACACTCCAACATATATAGAAGAATGATCTGGACCAAACACACCAGTAGTCCACAGTAGTTCTTGAGCGATTCATCAAGTAATAATTCAATCTGTATTAAGCGTACAATCAGATAGTTTGTCATGTTTATCAATCTGTTATCTTGTCCAATCATTATAGAAATAAATGACAAGGTGGACAATACTTTTATTTGATGCAAATATTTCGGTAAATATGTAAACTAGGCCCTATCTTATATCAACCTTAAGTCACTTGATAAAGAGTAGAGCACATCAGTGACTCATATACTACTGTAGTAAAATGAGAGCTCCAGATATCAACATCAAAGTTATGAATATTCACAAAGTGAACCACAGACAGTGAAGCTTTAGGATTCTAGATAGATTAATGCATTACTAATGTAGCTCGATTAGTGCTGTACTTCGCATTAACAATTCCAATATCCTCAATGAGCATTTATGCAACTTATGGCAAGGCTGAAGTTAACCACCTGTGGTCCCGTGGTAAAGTGTTGGCTAATTAGATTAGCTAATGAGCTTAGCTTAGCTTAAAGCTGGCAACCCGAGTTCGATCCTCCACACAGCTAATTAAAGTTCGTAAAAGTGTGCCCAGTCAAGTTCAGTACTCCCTAACACGCCAACACAGTCCCTACTTTATTGAAACGCTGACTGATAGTTTTTTTCGATCACTCGGAGTTTTCAAATTGCAAGGTATTTTTTTTATGAACTGTCAGACTTTGACATTTGTGACCAGTTTTTGATTATCATTAAAAACATAACCAAACAGATGTAACAATCATGACGTATGATTGACATGTAAAATGTTACAATAAATTCAACGTCTTGTTTATCGAACATAACACAAAAATCGTAACACAAACATTTTGTGGTTTTATATCACTTGGAAGTGTTCTGCATTGCCTTAGTTCATCATGTCGAGACTTTAGTCTTTACTGTTTACAAACCGGTTCCTGAGCACAACCCTTGACAATAGCGATCGAATACAAAATCAGCGGGAACAATTTGTCATCAGATACGAAATGTCACTCTGCAAATATGAGTAAGCCAGCTTATAGCTTCCCGCAGTTGTTGTTAAACATATGAAATGTGAATTGTGTATATAATTTGTAAGTGCCAACTCACTTCGGTGCGTGTCAGTTGCCATCTTGGAAAGGGCGGAGAACTCTGTCTAAACCAACAAAACACACCGCTTAACTCCCTTCCATAGGCTTGCATAAACATTCTAAATGTACGAAAAGGCTTCCTTGCGTTGTTGCTTTGTAAGCGACCACAAACAACAACAAGAATCTAGTTGTGATGGAGGAATACAAAAGGGAAAGTATATCGCTCGAATCTAAATTTGAGAAGTAAAACGAAAATAGTTTCATTAATTACAAGGCTTGCAGTTATTATATGAAAATATTATCAGGGGTAGAAGCACTTGCAAACACACCTTTCATCCGTGAGTCTAGTTGTGACAAACGACAATAAATATAGTAATACTATAATGTACAATAATAATAATAATAATAATAATAATAATAACGACGACGACGATGACGATGATGATGATGATGATGATAATAATAATAATTTGTGGCTCTTGTGTTGTATTTGCGTTTGGACTTGTCTGTTTACCAGTTTCGCATCGAAGCGAAAGTATGCTGTTAAATAACTCTGGTAAGCCTTACAAAGCAGGGTAACATTTACTAAATGTATTGTTGGCGTTTTTTCCCGGTCCAAGTCCAGGGTTCGATTCCTCAGACAGGTCAATGTTTTGAATCCCATTTCTAGGATCGCCCGCCGTACATATATAGTGCTAAAATATTGCGTAAATATAGGATATTTCATGTGTCGAGTGAAATATCATGTTTCTCTCATCTAGTGACACGGGGAAAGGAGATATTTTCACGAGTGTCACATTCATTCACTCACTCCTATTGAAGGAAAAATTAAACCTCACGTACCACAGTTTAGGTTGTGTCTTGTTAGTTCCTTTGTTGTTTAACACCGCACTCAGCAATATTCCAGTTAAATGACGGCGGCCTGTAAATAGGACAATCCAGTGATTGACATCATGAGCATCGGTCCACGCATGCAGGCTCTTATAAGGCAACCTATATAATCACCTTAAATCTTTTCATGATAATGGTTGCGATCTATTCCCCCATAAACACACCAAGTCGTCACCAGTCAATTGTAAGTCACAAAAACTCGAAACAATTCGAAACTTATGAAAAAGATCAAATGAAAGCTGAATAAAAAGCCGGGCAAAAGAAATTATAAACCCATGTTTGTTGGTGTCTGAAAATGAAACAAAATGGTTATTCGATGGTAATGTATTTGATATGGGTGTCACAGTTACCTTAAGTTTGTAGTGATTGTTTTCAGCCTAATAGTGAGTGAGTAAGTTGGGTTTAACGCCGCTTTTAACATTATTCAAGTTATATCACGGCGTGTCAGCTTAATGTGGGAGGAAAGCCCGAAGTGATGCAGGTCTCAGACGTTTACCACTTCGGTGATACCCACGAGCACGGGTATGGTGCTGACAAACCTAGAAACATAATTGTTGCAAACCGGGATTCGAACCCACAATCATAGGTTTAAATATGACTCCTAATATTTGTTTTTCATTATTTTCGTGTGACATCGCCAGACATGAATTGATCGCAGGACTAGCTTTTAAACTCATTAATCATTATGATCACATCACAATCAGCGCTATGACATGGCATGACGCTTTATTCACAATAAGAGATAATAATCTCAACAGGTATAATGAAAATCCTAATATTATTTGTGCTATACACGTCACGTGATGTCAATATACTCTCATTTACAATGATTTATGCCTCAGCAGATATATATTTGTACTTAGTTAATAACATTTGTCAACGCAAACTGACTTGTTCAATAAAACACGGGAAATTAGTTTGATATGTACACACGGTACTCAATTAATCATCTCCTTTGATCTCCGCCGTAAAACACTACGAGTTTGACTCGCTACTGTTTAACATAGGAAGCAAACATGCTTTTGTCATGTTTATCATTTATGCAAATGCAGCCGAAATGAACATTGTCAAGCAATTAGTGTTCTCAATTACGTTTATACGGATTAATCTAACAATTATTTTGGCGGTCGTTCTCATTGTGTTTTATTCTCATATTTATCTTGTCTGTTTTTTTCCAATCCTGGGGCTCCATACATCTTTTAAATAATTAAAACTACTGAAAATTGTAAATTGCATGTTACATATAACTGCCATTTTTATTCTGGTTACAACTATACTCAAACTTCATTGAAATAAAATTCCTGCATTTTTTTCCATATATACACCGAATGAAGGCGTAATGTTCAAGATAGGCAGGCCTAACGAGCGAAACAGGGAGGCTTAATGTTCGAGATAGGGAGGCCTAATGTTCGAGACAGGGACGCGTAATGTTGGAGACAGGGAGGCCTAATGTGCGAGAAAGGAACGCGTAATGTTCGAGACAGGGACGCGTAATGTTCGAGACAGGGACGCGTAATGTTCGAGACAGGGAGGCCTAATGTTCGAGACAGGGATGCGTAATGTTCGAGACAGATACGCGTAATGTTCGGGACGCGTAATGTTCGAGACAGGGACGCGTAATGTGCGAGACAGGGAGGCCTAATGTGCGAGACAGGGACGCGTAATGTTCGAGACAGGGACGCGTAATGTGCGAGACAGGGACGCGTAATGTGCGAGACAGGGACGCGTAATGTTCGAGACAGGGACGCGTAATGTTCGATACAGGAAGGCCTAATGTTCGAGACAGGGTGGCATTATTTTCGAGACAGGGACGCATAATGTTCGAGACAGGATGGCATTATGTTCGAGACAGGGAGGCCTAATGTGCGAGACAGGGACGCGTAATGTTCGAGACAGGGACGCGTAATGTTCGATACAGGAAGGCCTAATGTGCGAGACAGAAAGGCCTAATGTGCAAGACAGGGACGCGTAATGTTCGATACAGAAAGGCCTAATGTGCAAGACAGGGACGCGTAATGTTCGAGACAGAAAGGCCTAATGTGCGAGACAGAAAGGCCAAATGTGCGAGACAGGGAGGCGTAATGTTCGAGACAGGAAGGCCTAATGTTCGAGACAGAAAGGCCTAATGTTGTGGACAGGGACCCATAATGTTCAGTACCGGGAGATGTAATGTTCAAGAGCGGGAGATGTAATGTTCAGTACCGGGAGATGTAATGTTCAAGAGCGGGAGATGTAATGTTCAGTACCGGGAGATGTAATGTTCAGTACCGGGAGATGTAATGTTCAAGAGCGGGAGATGTAATGTTCAGTACCGGGAGATGTAATGTTCAGTACCGGGAGATGTAATGTTCAGTACCGGGAGATGTAATGTTCAAGAGCGGGAGATGTAATGTTCAGTACCGGGAGATGTAATGTTCAAGAGCGGGAGATGTAATGTTCAGTACCGGGAGATGTAATGTTCAAGAGCGGGAGATGTAATGTTCAGTACCGGGAGATGTAATGTTCAGTACCGGGAGATGTAATGTTCAGTACCGGGAGATGTAATGTTCAGTACCGGTTGATGTAATGTTCAGTACCGGGAGATGTAATGTTCAAGAGCGGGAGATGTAATGTTCAGTACCGGGAGATGTAATGTTCAGTACCGGGAGATGTAATGTTCAGTACCGGGAGATGTAATGTTCAAGAGCGGGAGATGTAATGTTCAGTACCGGGAGATGTAATGTTCAGTACCGGGAGATGTAATGTTCAAGAGCGGGAGATGTAATGTTCAGTACCGGGAGATGTAATGTTCAAGAGCGGGAGATGTAATGTTCAGTACCGGGAGATGTAATGTTCAAGAGCGGGAGATGTAATGTTCAGTACCGGGAGATGTAATGTTCAGTACCGGGAGATGTAATGTTCAGTACCGGGAGATGTAATGTTCAGTACCGGGAGATGTAATGTTCAAGAGCGGGAGATGTAATGTTCAGTACCGGGAGATGTAATGTTCAAGAGCGGGAGATGTAATGTTCAAGAGCGGGAGATGTAATGTTCAGTACCGGGAGATGTAATGTTCAAGAGCGGGAGATGTAATGTTCAAGAGCGGGAGATGTAATGTTCAGTACCGGGAGATGTTATGTTCAAGAGCGGGAGATGTAATGTTCAGTACCGGGAGATGTAATGTTCAAGAGCGGGAGATGTAATGTTCAGTACCGGGAGATGTAATGTTCAGTACCGGGAGATGTAATGTTCAAGAGCGGGAGATGTAATGTTCAGTACCGGGAGATGTAATGTTCAGTACCGGGAGATGTAATGTTCAGTACCGGGAGATGTAATGTTCAGTACCGGGAGATGTAATGTTCAGTACCGGGAGATGTAATGTTCAAGAGCGGGAGATGTAATGTTCAGTACCGGGAGATGTAATGTTCAAGAGTGGGAGATGTAATGTTCAGTACCGGGAGATGTAATGTTCAGTACCGGGAGATGTAATGTTCAAGAGCGGGAGATGTAATGTTCAGTACCGGGAGATGTAATGTTCAAGAGCGGGAGATGTAATGTTCAAGAGCGGGAGATGTAATGTTCAAGAGCGGGAGATGTAATGTTCAAGAGCGGGAGATGTAATGTTCAGTACCGGGAGATGTAATGTTCAAGAGCGGGAGATGTAATGTTCAAGAGCGGGAGATGTAATGTTCAAGAGCGGGAGATGTAATGTTCAGTACCGGGAGATGTAATGTTCAGTACCGGGAGATGTAATGTTCAAGAGCGGGAGATGTAATGTTCAAGAGCGGGAGATGTAATGTTCAAGAGAGGGAGATATAATGTTCAAGAGCGGGAGATGTAATGTTCAGTACCGGGAGATGTAATGTTCAAGAGCGGGAGATGTAATGTTCAGTACCGGGAGATGTAATGTTCAGTACCGGGAGATGTAATGTTCAGTACCGGGAGATGTAATGTTCAAGAGCGGGAGATGTAATGTTCAGTACCGGGAGATGTAATGTTCAAGAGCGGGAGATGTAATGTTCAGTACCGGGAGATGTAATGTTCAAGAGCGGGAGATGTAATGTTCAGTACCGGGAGATGTAATGTTCAAGAGCGGGAGATGTAATGTTCAGTACCGGGAGATGTAATGTTCAAGAGCGGGAGATGTAATGTTCAGTACCGGGAGATGTAATGTTCAAGAGCGGGA